CAGTCTTTCCATTTGCAAACCGTGCCCTTGGGAGTCGGAGGGAAGCAGGCTCTTGGCTTTGGAGTGACTTGACATTTGGTACGCCGAGGGCAGGAGTAGTTCAGCTGCAAGCTCTCTGCACCCCGGGAAGCAGTCAGCAGCGTTAAGCCTTGTCTTCTCTGAGCTGCTCTTCTGCTCGCTCTTGTGCGATGTGTCAGGCTGGAGGAAGCGTTCCCGAGGGACTGCTGAGCTGTGTGTTCCCACTCTGTCAGAAGGCGTTCAAAAAAAAATCCGGTTGCGGTTGGGTCACATGCCAACTCAGCTGCTCTTCTGAGCAGTGCTGCCATAGAGGGGTCACTTCCCACTTCTCCAAGCCCCAACTTCTCCCTACAATCGAGCCCAGCTGACAAAGCATTCCCAAAGCACTGGCATTCCCAGCAGTGCTTGCGTCCGTCCTGCTCGGGCTGGGTTAGGAACTGATCCAAACCATAAGGCCAGTCGGCATCCCAAGGATGTTTTGGGGGCTTTGGAAAGCAGCAGAGCAGTTTGCAAGCGTCCCTCGAAGCGACGCAAAACATCGCAACGCCCTGTGTTTCCCCTCCCACGCGGTGGGACCTTCCCAGCCCTGCCTGCCCCAAACTGTGAGCGTTGGCTCAGTTCAGCCGCTGCCCATGACGGGCTGACCTACCCCAGGGCCACGTCCTCCCTTCCCTGGGTGCAAGGGCAGCAGTCCAGCACAGCTCAGATGATGAATAACCCCTGCTGCAAGGAGGGGCACAGGCTCCAGCAGCTCCACAGCTGACAGAGCACACCCTGCACCGCTAGAGAGCCAGACCCAGGCACTATCTTCACCCACAGCCACCCACCTCTTTGCACCCAATTTACAGCTGCAGCCACCCAGGCTACCCAGGCTAACACTCCCACCAAAACATCCTCCTTATTACCCTTCACACCATCAAAACAATTTTCAGAACATTTTGGCAACGACTCAGTCCCCCAAACCCCTGATTCACCCCATCTTCCAGCTCCTGCCCCACAGCATCTCTGGGCCTGGCCCCCTTTTCTGCAAGCCCCCGTGGAGCCCACGCCTGGGAAATGAGAGAGTGTGCCAACTGCCTGAATATTTAGGAAGGCTCCTGCCCCCGAGAGCAGCTGCGAGACTCCGGCATGCAGCCTGGCAACTCAGGGTCTCGCAAGTGCGCAAGTAAAGCTCAAGGTCTGATGTAATTAGTCACTGTTTTTATTAACAGTCACCAGCAGCTGCCAGCTCAGGTTTATAAAGCAGCTGTAATGAGGAGACTCTCATGGCCTCATGCAAAGATGAGAAGAAAAGTTTGTGCTGAGAGAAGCGTAGGAAACAGCACTCCAGAAAGCTTCTGACCTTCCACACAACGTGTCGCCAAAGAAGGACGGTTTCCCCCACCCTGGTCTGCTGCTGGCCCCAAGGAGTTTGGGCAAAGAAAGGGACACAGCAGGTGCCGTAACACCGCAAGGATCAAGGAAAATAGAGGATCTGATGCCAGGTCCCACGGACCGTGCACACCCTGGGCTGATCCCACATTGTGCATGGTCTCATTTCCTTTCGTTCAACTGCAATCACTGATTCCTAACAACAGCCCAGCCAACACTGCGGGTTTACTTTATGTCCTGCTCTTTGGAGAGCCTTTGATCTTTCTGCCACCATCAGAAGTGTATTAATAAGTACTTAACTCTGGCCAGATCTCATTGTACTGTGACTTAAATCTCAGCAAATTCTCACTTAGTTCCCGCATAGCAGGTGCCAAGGGGTTTTCTGAGGTGCCGTGGTGAGGAACAGGACATACGCGCTCCAGACAATACAGATTTACAACCACATGAAACACTTTATACTGCTTTTATCACAGCAGAGATAACAGAGCTTGCAGAGGGCAGCGACCGCGGCCGGCATCACACCACCCCTGCACCACGGTTCAAGGAGCGTCCTGCCTCACGCCCATCCACAAAGGGCAGGGCTGGCACTCAGCTCAAACCGCAGAGGTGACGGCTCCGCAGGGCAGCGCACAAGTGCGTCGGGCAATCAGCCCACTCAAAGGAAAAATATAAAATATGAGACTCTGCAGACACCCCAGAAGCAAAGCAGCGGTCGTGCATCTGTGGCAATTACATGCAGGGAAACGCACAGGTGGGACTATGAGGGCAGGCAGGGGCAAGGCGCAGACCTGGGGTCTTATTATTGCTCAGGTTGGAGCTTGAAAGATGACAGTCACCTGCAGCACGGGGAAGAGGAAGAGCCTATAAGGTCTTGCAGCTAAGAGCATCTTCAAACGTGATATACCCGACTTCACGCGGATGGAGCGCTCAGTGCGGGCAGGGCACGTCAGCCCTAACCGCAGCGCACGCAGCGCCCTGCCATCGCTAGCCCAGAACGCACGTTTTCTGCCGCCGCTTGCCTCTAGCGCAAGCGTCCAAGAGCGACAGCCCTCGCGCCACCGCTCCCCAGCGGGACAGGGAGCGAGGGAAGAGTACCCAGGCCTCAGCGACCAGCCCCGCGGAGCAGCGACCGGCCCTGCAGCCGGCGCACGCTCTCTCGTCCGCCTGCATAGTTCAGGGTCGCAACATGTTTTGCAACGTAAGCCTCTAAAAATAGCATAATCCGGCCAGCCATCCGAGGCTGCGCGGCCAGCAGCCCTCCAAGTTATAAAGGGACGTTTACAGCATAGCTTTATGAGTGCTGGAAGTCATGGCGGGGATATTCTAGACTTAGCTGTTCAAGTCAGTGTTTGCAAACGGATGGAGCAAAGAGCTAGTCCCAGGCCCTCAAATAATCTGCTCTGACCTTAAGCAAATCTCTCCGTCTCCGTGTACCTTCCTGTTCCCAGCTATAAACAGCCGACGATGCCTCTTGCCAGGAAGGGCCGCAAGGCGTAATTGGTTAATATTCACAAAAGCACCTCGAGGTCCCTGAACGGGAAAGTATTATTGCTACTATTAAAGCCAGGCAGAGCTTTT